GGAGGGGGGGGGGGCAGCAAGAGAGGTGCGGGCAATAGAGCAATGCTGGCTTGTGGCAGCACTCAATTCTTTGTCCCCTCCACCTCCTTGACATCATTTCCCCTCCCTTGGCCTGTTATTAGGCCGTACTTACCAGATCCTCTGTATGGCCCTTCATGATAGTTCCTGGAAATCTTGGCTGCCCCCTCCCAGCAGGAAGGCTAAGTGGGGTCTGGGGGAGCTATGGGGTGGGGCGGGGTCTGGTCTATCCTTGCGAAGACACCTTGCTTGATTAGGGGAGAGGGAGGGACTCTGAGGGACACCTCACACCAGGCTAGGCCCTGTTTCCCCCATCTCTCCACCTGCTCTCCCTTCCTCAAACCCATGGCCTGCGCAAAGCTCAGCTGAGCTGAGCAGATGGGGGAGGGGGCAGAATGAAGAGAGACAGTCTCTGGGGGACCATCTGGGGAGCCTGAGTTGGTGGTGGATCCCTGGACCCCTGCCAGCTTTGTGAGGGGGGGGGATATGGGTCTCTCTTTCCCCCCAAGTGTGTGTCTGTGGACAGGGGTGGGACAGGCTGTCAGGGTGAGGTGCGGTCTCTATCATACGTGTACACGCTAATGGGGAGGAGCTGTGTGAATAATTCAGACCACTGGGAAATCCAAAAGTCAAATGGTGAGGCTCTGATGCATGTGTAGTTCCTGAGTGCCCTGCTTGTGTTTTGGCCTTCGCTCTGATTGGCCTGAGCCTGATGCTAAATGCCATTGGGAGTCCCTGAGTACCAGGGTGTGGAGGGCGGAGGCCCAGGGATGGGTCTTAGAGGGTGTCTTCATGGAGAAGGCAGCGGTAGCTGGGTAGAAATCTAGGGCAGCAGCACCCAATGGGGCTCAACTTCCCATCCCGGCTCCCAGGAACCCCAGTGTGTTTATACTTGGCCTTCTTTCTGGGGAAGGAGCAGCCTGTCCCTTGTCTTCTGTGGGCAGAACTCACCCAACCCAAGGTCACTTGGCTAAGAACCTGGCTCCCCTCACTCCCCACCAACAAGGGCATGAGCCCCGCCCTGGGGTGATAGCCTTGGCCGCTGCCTGCAGCTGCCTGGGCCAAGTATTTGGCTAAACCCACAGGCCTGGCAACGGGTCATGCAGGGTGCGCCTCCATCAGAGCACTGCCTCCATGGCCGGAGCTGAGTCTGGTCCTTAGTGAATGTGTAAGAGGAGAAAGAGGCTCAGACTGCCCAGAGTGATGAACCCACCACCCCCAGGGATCCCTGAGTCTTGATGGGAAAAGCATCGCCCTCCCCTTCGGATATAGTCACATAGCCCCAGGGAACCTCTTCCTTTCGCTTAAACAAAACCCTTTGGTCCCTGGTGGACCTGGTGGGTAGGATCCTGCAACCCCAAACCACTCCTTGGCTCTTGGATGCGGGACCCATTTGTGGGTGAAGGGCGCCTCCACCAAGGCTTATGGCCAGATAGGAGATGAAGCTTGCTCTCCCTTTCCCCACAGTGGCCTTTCTCCCATGCAAGGGTGTTGGGGGGCTACTTTTCTAAGGAGGCTGTGAGCAAGAGGTGCCCCTGCTTAAAATGAGGGTGGGGAGAAAGAGCAGGTTGGCCAGGGTTTCTTGCTGCTGCCTTAGCAACAGCGGAGGAGCGATGGCTGCCCAGCGACATGGGCCTGCTGGAATGGTGGGAAAACCAGCTGGCCAGACATCAAGCTCTTGCCTCTCTTAGGCCATGCCCAAGGCTCATGTCTTCCTTGCAGACCTTCCCCTGTAAGGATCAGGGTTTGGGTTGGCAAGGTACTCTTTCCAGGCTGTCCAGAAGTTCTGTGCTTATGGCCAGGCATTGGATACCGCTGATCTGTCTGGTCAGAGAGGAGCCTGTAACCTTGGGGCCAAGGGACCAAGGGAAGGTGCCCGGGATGTTGTGCTTGAGGCCGAGAGTGATGCTGATCCACACGGAGACTGAACCGTTTGGAGAGGAGTTTGCCTGATGGGGCCTAGCACCCTGGGCTGCCCTTAGCAAGTGCCTAGGGATGTGGACATTTGGTGAGGCTGTGTGGGGAGGTCAGGACAGCCTCCAGCAGCATGTGGACCCTGGGAATCCTGCTTTCAGCTGGACCTCTTCCCTGAGGAGCAGGAGTAGAATCCATTCTGTCTCCATTTTGTTGGCCAGCTCCCTTCTCTGGAGTGAGGCAGATGAAGTTTGGGAACGGGAAGCTACAGGGGGGCTGTACCTTTCATCTCTGGGGTGTCTCACATGGAGGATCCCAATGGGGCTGTGGCCATGTGGGCAGATATCGGGCCGGATAGGGGCTGTGGGGCGACATTCTTAGCAGGCGGGGCTGGCACATGTCGACCCTGGAAACCCAGGGATGTGGTAGGCATGATTCACAGGGACATCTGGGGCCAGTTGGCAAAGAGCTGGGTGAGATGGGCAGGAGCAGATGGGGCTGCCCTGGGGGCTACCTCTGCATTTTTCCTGAGGACATGGAACCCTGGAAGGTGGCTCCGACCTCCCCGCCTCTGGGAGGGGCCGGGGTTGCTCAAGGGAAGGGCAGAATAGCTTCCTGAGCTTCGGGGTCATTAAGTCAGGGGGTGGGTTTTGTCTTTGCCGCTTCCTACCTGGATGACCTTGAGCAAGTTACTTAACCTCTCTGAACTTCAGTTTTCCCCACGTGTAGAAAGAGAATACCAGTAGTATATGCTGGCCTCCTAGGGTCGTTGAAGGATTGCCGAGAGTGTGCCTGACACAGGGCGGGCGAGTGCTCCAGAAACTCTCCCCCGCTGTGAGGAAGGGAACGACATTGGAGTGGATAGAGTCCTCTTCATATTGGAGGCCTCCTAGGCCCTTCTAGCCTGTGCCTTTCCCCTCTACCCACCTCCGTTACCAAGACCAACCAAGGTTTCCAACTTTAGCCATCACAGGCCAGGCTGCCCTTGGCTGCCATCATGCAGGGCAGCCACAGCAGGGCCTAGACCGAAAACTTGCCTGGTGGCCGGAAACCACGAGAGGGAGGGCCCACCTCTCCTGGAGGGTGGGGCAGTGGTGGTGCTAACGGTAGCTGTGTGCACATGGGGAGGGGGTGGGGAGGCCTCCACTTCCCTCTGAGAGACGGTGTGCTGGGAGGGGGGGGGTTCCCCAGTGAGTAAGAGCTCAGTGTGGGCAACAACAGGAAGCGTAGGGTGCTGGGTGGCAGGAAATGGGGCTGGCTGTTCCTGGTTCCTCAGACAGGGGGACTGGGGCCAGTCTGTCTGCAGAAGACCCCTGGGGGTCCGGGACCCACATTTCTCACCACCTTCAGTGCTCTTTCTTCCAAGGAAACACAGTCTTCTTACCAGCTTGCCAGCTAGGTCACCTCAGACAGATGACTTAATCGCTCCGTGCCTCAGTTTCCCATTTGTGAAATGGGGATCACAATAGCATTTATTGTGTCAGCTTCTTTTTTGAGGTTTCAATGAGTCAGTAGATATAAAGCACCTAGAATGGCACTTAGCACGGAATGGGATGTTTGGGGAATATTTATCATTATTATTGTTGCTGTAATTCTCCTACTAGCCTGGATTGTATGGGCAGTGCCTGCTGTCCTGGCTCCCACCTGGCTTGCCCTTGTCCCTGCCATGGGGACCCTTCAACCCTGACGGGAGTGGCCATGAGCTTTTTGGGACTCTCAGCACCTAATCCTGGGACTAGTCACCCAGAGCCCTCCTCTAAGTCAGGGATTGTCTCTAATAGCCCCAGAAAATCTACCTACTGGAACTTTGAAACGTGGATTGATTGCCTTTGGAGATGCGCTAAGAGCTCTAAGACAAAGGCCAAGACCATGTAGAGGTGGCGGATGGAGACACTTCCTGGCTTCTGGGCCCATCAGGCTGTGGAGCCTCTGTGGGGCTGGTCTGAGACTGGGCTTGGTACCCAAGTTCAAGGGCATTCTGGGACTCAAAGGGCCACACGTCATGAGGAGAGGGTGGGCAGGTGGGTTGGGACAGTCTCAGTTCAAACTGAAAGTGAAACGGGAGGGTGTGGTTGTGTCCAGACGCAGACAGAACCCCTTCAGTCACCAGGGACACCTCTCCAGATGTCAGCGGTGGCGGGAGGGGGGAGGGGCGTTGTTGAAGGAGTACGGCAGAAGCTTGCAAGGGGCTGGTCTTGGGTGAGCGAGGCTGAGGGCCCCTCTGGCACCTGGAGAGGTCGAGGCAGGGAGGGAGAATGATGTCTACACATTCTAGTGGAAAGACTGGGGAATCAGCTCCTTTTCTTGGCCACACCTTCAAAGATGGATCTTACCTGTCTCTTCCTGGAGCCAAAGCATTAAGGGCAGCAAGGAGAGGGGAGCTGAAGGGTCAGTTCATTGTTGGCCAAGCACTGGAGACAGGTCTGTTTTATCTGGATGTTTTCACAAACTTCTGCTCACCACACCATCCCTCTCCTTGGGGTCTTCAATGGATTCCTCCCCCAGCCCCCAGTCTGTGAAACGCCTCTTAACAGCGTGTGTCACTGCAGAGTATTATTACATCAAAACCCAGCTTCTCACTGGGTATTCCTGGGAACTCTGGGAGCTGGGAGGCAGAAGGGAAGCGCGCCCATTTTATGGAGCAGGAAGCTGAGGCTCAAGGAGACGGAGAAGTTGTTGGGCTAGGTGAGCCCAGGGCCTGGCTCTCCAGGATCGTGTGGGTTCTTCTGCCTCACAGCTTCCTCTCCCCATGTCCCCTTACGGGAGGCAAGTGTCCCTCCTCCCCACCCCTGGACCTCCGTGTCCTTGCCTGTCCCTTTCGAGCGGTGTCAGCCAGCCTCATCTACTTCTCTCCCATGGTGCTGCCTCCTTGCTGAGGGCCCCGGGTCTGGGGTCTGTTGCCGTGTTCCAGGACGCCTTCCCTCCACCCCGAGTCAGTGGCACCCTCTGGTTCCTCTCTTGCTCCTTAGGGTACCGTCTCCTCGGTGGGCACAGCCGAGGAACAGCTGCTAATTAGTGCTCAGCGCTGTCAGAGCTATTTCTGATTTCCGAGCCTAAATTTAGCCCGTCTGGCAGGCTGGCACGTAGCCTCGGGGGCTTGAGCACGCCCAGGTGGGGAAGGGGACAAGGGGTGCTGTGCCCTCCACCACTGCCGGGACAGGTGTACCCCACAGCAGAGGCCTTTTCCTCCCCAGTAATAACCATGGGGCTGCCCCCCGCGGGGAGTGGGCCAGGGCGCTGCTTCAGAGTCAGCTCTGGGCTCAAAGCCAGCCCCGCTCCCCACTCTCTGGTTTTGTAACCTTGGGCAGGTCACTAAACTAATCTGTACTTGCACCTGTGAGATGGGGATGAGGGTGTGTGGTGGTGAGGACGTCACCCTCGTGGAGGGCTCAGAGCGGTGCCGGGCAGGGTGAGCATCCGGGCAGAGCTGGCGCCCACATTTGTTGGGGTCACTATTTTGACTATGACTGGTCGCTGACTCTAGAAGTGCCACTGGGGCCATTCCAGGAACCAAACAGGTCCCTGGAGTGGGCGAGGGCCTGGAAAGACCCGTGTTGGGAAGCGGCTGTCCCCTGTAAGGCTCAGGTGCTGGGGCTCAGCCGTCGCCGCATTCCTCCTCGTCCCCCTTCCCTGCCACCACCTCCCTTCTCTGGGTTGGCCACTGTTCCAGTTTCTTTGCATTGCCTGCCTTCCTGCTCCCTCCTTCCCCCTCAGCCTTGGCTTTCCTCTGCCCTGCCCCACCCTGGATCTCTGTGATCAGGATCTGGAGAGACCAAGGAGAAAGAAAGGCAGAGAGAGAGAATGGTCACAGGGGCCCTTGCCTCAGCTCCAGGGGCCCTTCCCAGGCAGTGTCTCCTGTAGTGGCGGGGGCTATACTGGCTGTTGGTGGGTTGGGGAAAGGCAGCAGATGAGACAGCAGTGGTTTCCTCAATCCAGGGGCTCGCTTTTGCAATGGGGAGAAGAATGACGTATCCCCATCCCCAGCCGGCCTGGGGGGCCTGGGGGATAGGCAGCTTCACCTCTCAAGTGGGGCCTCAGCCGGAAAGCTTGAGCAATGGGGGCTGAGAGCACCCAGTTTCCTGTTGTCTGGGGCTGACCTAAGGCAGTGATTTTTTTTGGAGGGGTGAGTTCTGGCCAGAGCCCCAGAATGAAGCCCAGCACCCCAGAGAGGAAGCTGGCTGAGGAGCCCCGGGTGGGTGTGGCCCTCTCTTTGCTCCAGCTGTGGCCTCCTCTCAGGGCCATGTGACTGAGGACGTATAGTCTGAGCCACCAGAGCTGGTGACGGGGGCCTTTTGACTCTGCGCTGGGGATTCCTGGGGACTCCCACCTCCCCAGCAGAGATGGGGCTCCTTGAGGGCAAGAACTATCTTTTGGGGCCTGACACATAGTAGACCTTCTTTAAACCTGGGGTTCAGTGAATTGGGGTAAACTGGCATCATCTTCTGGGTCTGTTAGGAAGACATGCCAAGTTCGGGGGGGCCAGGGAACCCCTAGTGAAGGCAGCACCAGGCAAGACCCTATACTTGCCCTGTGAGGGAGGAGCTTGACAGGCACGTCTGTGACTGGAGGATCGGGCAGAGCAATGCTGACCTTTCTTAGCTCCTGAGGGGAGTCCCAGCCTGGGCCACCGGCACCACAGACCCAGCATGCTGGCTGCTGTCTCCAGTTCCTATGTCTGGGTGACCTTCCCCAGGAATTCCCCTGTGCCCTGTAGCCGTGATGCACCTGCTAGGAATTCCCTGCCTGTCTGACCGTAGCTCCCTTGGCCCGTCCCCATGTCCTCCTTCCAGAAGTGATGAGGAGGGAGGGGGCTGGACAGGGCTAAGGAGGAGACCGCTGTTGCCATCCTTGTGAGAGGTTTTCTGCTGTTTGTGAGACACTGGTGCCCTGGGCCAGGACTGCATACAGTCTGGATGGTGTCGGCTGGCACACGGGGTGGGGCAGAGTCCAAGACTGGCCACACTTGGGCCCGGCTGGAACTGGGTCCCCTGTTAGCTTCCCACTCAAATGGAAGAAGAGTTGACTTTCCCCCTTATTGCATGTGGGGAAGTGAGTCAAAAAATGCCCAAGGTCCCAGGAAGTCAGGCTGAGAACCCACGCTCTCACCACCGGGGGAGACGTGCCAGGGAGGGGGTGTGTGGAAGACGGAGCCCGGGCCCTGGAGCCAGGCCGACTCAGAGTCAAATCCCAGTGTCACTTTCTAGCTTTGGGGCCTAGGGCAAGGTGTTGTATCTTTGGGCCTCGGTTTTCTCATCGGCTAATGCTACTTATCTCCTGGGGTGACAGGGATTCATGCGTATGACAGATCTGCTAGGGAGCTGCCCTTGGTGGCTTCCCTGAAAATGCCTGTGCTCCCTTGCCCCTTGCATCGGGATCCCAGGCTCAGGGTCATTATCTTGTCCTTCCCCTCTCCAGAACTGCATGAACTTGCCCCCGGACAAGGTGCAGCTGCTGAGCCAGTATGACAATGAGAAGAAGTGGGAGCTCATTTGTGACCAGGTGGGTACCAGGCCCCTTCTGGCCTCAGGATGCCCTGCCCTGGCTGGCTGGGGGGGAGGGGGGGTGCTGGCAGGAGAGGGGGCA